TATCTAAAACTCTACTGGTTGTATGGGGCTCGTAAAGTATTTTCGCCTCCCTTCAACCAGTAGGGTTATGAATAGTTATTTAATTGCTGTTTTGTATAATAGCGACCTGTGGATGTAAAGAAAGATATAAAGGTTTTAAAGAGTACCTTTTTAAATCTATAAACGGAGTGTAATTAAAAATACTTCTTAATTTCCTTTTAACCCAAATCCTTACAGATCTAATTATCCTTCCCATTCCAAATATCTAAAACAAAGTTATTAACCTAAATTTGTAAACTTTCCAGAAAGTTATTTTTCTGATTTTTAATTATATTTTTTGCTTATATGATCATCGATCACACAGAGATAACCTGAAAAAGGATTTTGAAACTTGTAGCTGATTTATTGATTTAAAATTGTGCCCTAGAATGCTTTCAAAAATGTATCTGCACTAGGCTTTTAGGTCGCTTCGCGCACATCTCCTATTTCAATTGTGAACATTTTCTCTTTATAAAAAGTTCGCGGATTAAAAAAAAAAATTCTTGGATTTTTAAAGTTTAAGGAAAATTGAATTTTGTTGGAGGCTAATTTTGGAAATTTTAATCATCTATTAAACCTTCCCTGGTATCATTTGAGGTCCCACACAGAATTTGGGCCTGATAGGTTTAGCCGTTTTGGCGTTTATTGGATATAAACAAACAAACAAACAAACAAAATAGTGTAAGTACTAACAGTCCTCTCTGCAGTCTCATCCTTTGTGAGTAACCAATTGTAAGTATATTGTATAGTATCCCACCGGGCTTCAACTGAACAGATTTTACTCTCCGAGAAGTCTCAGTTACTCATTTCTCTCCTCTCTCTTTATATCCGTCCTCGATAAACCCATCCTTCCCTTCCCGTAAACCTTGGTAAACCCATCCCATCCATCTGTTAAACCTTAGTAAACCTATCCTATCCTTCCCTTAAACCTTGCTATATCCATTATATCCTTCTCTTAAACCTTGATCAACCCATCCTATCCTTCTCTTAAACCTTGGTAAATCCATTATATTCTTCTCTTAAACCTTAGTAAATCCATTATATCCTTCTTTTAACCCTTGGTAAATACATTATATCCTTCTCTTAACCCTTGGTAAATACATTATATCCTTCTCTTAAACCTTGATAAACCCATCCTATCCTTCTCTTATACCTTGGTAAACCCATCATATCCTTCACTTAAGCCTTGGTAAACCAATCCTATCCTTCCCTTAAACCTTGGTAAACCTATCCTTTCCTTCTCTTAAGTCTTGATAAACCCATCCAACCCTTCTCTTAAACCTTGGTAAACCCATCCTATCCTTCTCTTAAACCTTGATAAACACATCCTATCATCCTCTTAAACCTTAGTAAAACTATCCTATACTTCCCTTAAGCCTTGGTAAACCCATCCTTGTCAACCATTAACATTAAGACCCCCCCCCCTCTATGTAATGTCGTCTTCAACTTAAAAGCTCCTCTCGGAGACGAGAAACCAAACCAAACAATTTCAGCCCGCTTTTCTTCTTTGTTCTCCGACAACGGAGTATAAACGTTTATTAATTGTGAACCATTTCAAAGTTAAACAAGAATATTTTCATTTAAAGAATTAGTGACTTTCATCAACATTTAATTGTTAATCTTTTCAGAAGTTTTAATGTATAAAAAGCGTCTTCGGACTTTTCGACTGTTAACCCACAAATAAGCAAATAGATCGTAAGACTCTTTTCATTATAAATTTGTAAACCATTGTAATAATTATTTATCATTATTCATTTCATTTTTTTTAGGAAATAAAGAGTTTTCTGCATTATCGATTTTGATTTGAGGGTTATTCCTTGTCTATCTGTTCATCGTCAGAATCTTGTTCCTTAGCGACAACAATCCTATCCTTTTCTTTAACCTTGGTAAACCTATCCTTTCCCTCTCTTAAACCTTGGTAAACCAATCATACTCTTCTCTTAAGTCTTGATAAACCCATCCTATCCTTCACTTAAACCTTGGTAAACCCATCCTATTCTTCTCTTAAACCTTGATAACCCAATCCTATCCTTCCCTTAAACCTTGGTAAACCTATCCTTTCCTTCTCTTAAATCTTGGTAAACCCATCCTATCCTTCTCTTAAACCTTGGTAAACCTATCCTATCCTTCTCTTAAACCTTGATAAACCCATCCTATTCTTCTCTTAAACCTTTGTTAAACCCATCCTATCCTTCTCTTAAACCTTGGTAAACCAATCCTATCCTTCCCTTAAACCTTGGTAAACCTATCCTTTTCTTCTCTTAAATCTTGGTAAACCCATCCTATCCTTCTCTTAAACCTTGATAAACCCATCCTATTCTTCTCTTAAACCTTGATAAACCCATCCTATTCTTATCTTAAACCTTGGGAAACCAATCTTATCCTTCTCTAAAACCTTGGTAAACCCATCCTGTCCTTTTCTTAAACCTTGGTAAACACGGAGCACATACAAAATGTATCGTCACAAAAATTATCACCACTAAAGTTATCACCACAAAACATATCTTTTCAAAACTTATCAAAACAAAACTTATCTAACAACAAAACTTATCAAAACAAAACTTATCAAACTACAAAACTTATCAAAATTATTATTCATTTGTAAAAAGGCTGGCAATATTGAACTGATATGTGTTCAAGGTTACACTATCATAACTTGCACACATAGCTTTCATGTCTTCTCTGTTCTGTGACCTTCACTTGTATCTAGATTTACTCTTATCTTGGTTTCCTGGAACATTTCAATGATTTGAAATTTTAGATTCATGAATAAGTTTTGTAGTTTGATAAGTTTTGTAGTGGATAAGTTTTGTTTTGATAAGTTATGCTAATTGCTAAGTTTTGTAGTTTGATAAGTTCTGTGATGATAAGTTTTGTAGCTGATAAGATATGTTTTGATGTGATAAGTTTTGTGGTGATAAATTTAGTGACGATATGTTTTGTATGGGCTCCAAAAAAACCTTGGTAAATCTTGGTAAACCCATTCTACCCTTTATGTAATATTGGTAAACCCATCCTATCCTTAGCTTAAACCTTGGTAAACCGGGTGATTTGTACTGTGTCATTTTTGTGTATGACGATGTCTGAATACGCTTTTGACAAAGTGTCCGAATCCTTTTTTACTGGACAGATTCAGTGTCTGCATTCTTTATTACTGGAGAGATTCAGTGTCCGGAACCATTTTTTCTGGAGAGATTCCGTGTCCGGATCCTTTTTTACTGGAGAGATTCAGTGTCCGGATCCTTTTTTACTGAACAGATTCAGTGTCCGGATCTTTTTTTACTGGACAGATTAAGTGTCCGGATCCTTTTTTACTGGACAGATTCAGTGTCCGGATCCATTTTTACTGGACAGATTCAGTGTTCGGATCCATTTTTACTGGACAGATACAGTGTTCGGATCCATTTTTACTGGAGAGATTCAGTGTCCGCATCCTTTTTTACTGGACAGATTCAGTGTCCGGATCCTTTTTTACTGGACAGATTCTGTGTCCGGATCCTTTTTTACTGGACGGATTCAGTGTCCGGATCCTTTTTTACTGGACAGATTCAGTGTCCGGATCCTTTTTTACTGGACAGATTCAGTGTCCGGATCCTTTTTTACTGGACAGATTCAGTGTCTGGATCCTTTTTTGCTGGACAGATTCAGTAACCGGATCCTTTTTTACTGGACAGATTCAGTGTCCGGATCCTTTTTTGACAAAGAAACAAATGATGCATGAAAATTTTCTTTGTTTAAAGACTTGATATTGTGACAGGATAATTTGGTTAAAACGTTCACTACATTAACTATCTACTAGGTTAATTGCTATCTTTAAAACACTTGTTTTATGAAAGATAATAACCCCAGATGACGGAGATAGCCTAAATGTATTTTAATTTCCTAAAAAATAAATATAATTGATAATCATACCTTTGTAATTTTCCACTCAAGGATTTCCACCATATTTTTTTATTCAAGAACAAAGGAATAGGAACAAGATGGAGGAATAGGAACAAGATGGAGGAATAGGAACAAGATGGAGGAATAGGAACAAGATGGAGGAATGAAAACAAGATGGAGGAATAGGAACAAGATGAAGAAATAGGAACAAGATAGAGGAATAGAAACAAGATAAAGGAATATGAACATTAATATGAGGAATAGGAACAATGTGGAGGAATGGAGCCAGATGGACGAATGAAAACAAAATGGAGGAATAAGAACAAGATCAAAAGGAACAAGATAGAGGAATAGAAACAAGATGGAGAAATAGGAACAAGATGGAGGAATAGAAACAAGATGGAGGAATAGAAACAAGATGGAGGAATGAAAAAAATGGAGGAATAGGAACTAGATGGAGGAATAGGATCAAGATGGAGGAATGAAAACAAGATGGAGGAATAGGAACAATATGATGGAGGAATAGAAACAAGATGGAGGAATAGAAACAAAGAAACAAGATGAAGGGATAGGAACAAGATAAAGGAATATGAACATTAACATGGATGAATAGAAACAAGATGGAGGAATAGAAACAAGATGGAGGAATAGAAACAAGATGGAGGAATAGAAACAAGATGGACGAATAGAAACAAGATGGAAAAATAGGACCATATGGAGGAATGAAAACAAGATGGAGACATGATCCAGATGAAGGAATAGGAACAAAATGGAGGAATAGAAACAAGATAAAGGGATAGGAACAAGATGAAGTGATAGGAACAAGATGGAGGAAAAGAAACAAGATGAAGGGATAGGAACAAGATGAAGGAATAGGAATAAGATGAAGTATACAAGATAGTAGAAGAGGAACATCATGAAGACAGATAAGGGAAAAGAAATACTGAAAAAATTTACAATGTTTTTTATTAGTTTAAAGCATTTTCTATAATATTAAATCTACATAGCAAATTAATATATTCCTCATCACTGTTCCTGCGCATGCCTTTAGCTTACATCTGGAAGCAATTAAGCAGGTTTAAATACGTGAAACATGGTGGATAATATTCAGTAGAGGTATAACTTCTTTACTAACTACAGGTTAGTAAGACAACACTTCTTTCTTTCTAATCTTTTATTTCTAATACTGACAAAATTAACAATTTAAATTTTTACTTCTAATTTTACAGAATCATGAGGATTTTGTTCGTTGTTCTTGTCTTGTCCCTTGTTCTCTTCTGCTTGGTGGAAGCCGCTAAACAGGTGACAAAAAACTTTTTCAATTCAAAAGACAGTACATATCATGTTGAATACTTATGCCTCAAAGTTTTGATCGGAAATCCAAACAGACAGGCAGACAGGCAGACAAACAGACAAGCAGACAAACAGACAGGCAGACACGCAGACAAACAGAGATTTCTACTTTTTATATAAAGCCCTAGCCGTACAAGAAATAGAAGAGGCGGGAGAAGGGGGGCACTACTAGGTTGAAACAGCAACATGTAAAAACTAATTATATTCAACTATTTTACTTCTTTATTAAAATAGTTGTTTCTTCAGGATAAAAAGAGAAAACACGCTAAAATTGACGTAGGACGTAGAAGGAAACAAGCAAAAACAACTAAGAAGCAGGGCATTAGAAGACGAACTCTACAGAAGACAGTGAAATCCGGCAATGCTAAATCAGTCGCCCGTGCCAACGAGGTTGGAAATGGTTGTGATTATGTTGTTCTCTCCGAACTACCCACCAGGGCAAAAGGATGTGTTAATGGTAATTTTTTATATTCACAATTCTTAAACTGCAGCAAAGCTTATGAAATTTAAAATCTAGGCGCTAAGTTTGTGATCAGACCTGGAAGTAACTCTAGAAGGCAGTATGTCATCATGAACGGTAAACCTCTGCTTCTCTGGGTGACCCGAGGAACTAAGTTTACTGACTGTACAGCCTTCACAGACAGAACAGCTTCAATTTCATGCAAGGTATGCACAATGTAAATAGCATAATTTCAAAATATTTCTTGGATAAAAAAGAGTACTGCACTGCCTAAACGTCACTGAAATATTTTCACAATAATTGGGTTAGGCCCTGTAGGTAGAGCAGTTCTTTCTATACCAATTTTCAACCAAAAATCAAAATGGCCGACAGTAATATTTATGACTTCTAGGAAGTTACTGGTCTGGCAGCTATTGATCTTGGTGTGACTGGAGCTCCCGGCACCAATACTACTGCAGCACCTTCATCAGGTAATAAAACTCTACCCTAGAGGTACAGTATACGAGTTCAACCTTGAAAAAAGCAATATCATCAACTGTAAAACTTTTTATTGTATATTTTATTCAATATTTTCTAGTCGCGCTCGACCACAACCATAATATTGAATAAATTTTATCTAAATTATGAATAATTTTGTTTATCAAATCGAATCCAATTGGATAGAACATAACATGTTATGGTTGCTTAAAACATTGTTCTTCGCAATTTTGACTACCATTTATTTTAATTAGAAAAAATCTTACAGTTATCAGATCTTATTGATTTAGTTTTGTTCAAGGTTAATGCTCTCTAAAATATTTAGTTATTTGTCTTATCAATATCAAATTAGATTTGAATATAAAAGAAACTTAAACAATCAGACAGTTTTTGTGAGCAATTATCTACTTTTTGTAAGATTGTTTAGAAGGGAAACAATACTACACTCAGTCGATTCTAAAGCTCATCTTGTCAATAAACTGTTTAAATTGCACCTGGTGGTGGTGGTTTAATAATTTCAAATGTGACGCAAGAGTAGGATAATGTACACTGTAAAATGTTACCAAAATTATGGTAAACTGGTTCTTTAAAAATGGCTGGAACGTTGTAAAACCCTAAAAATGGCTGAATTTAATCTTGCTGAAATACTACAACAGGTAAAGAAATTTACAAGTGATACCGAATAAAAATGAATAAAATGAATAAAAATGAATAAAAATGCATGAATTTTGTTTTAGTTCCTGATGAAAAAGTAACAAGCTTAAGTTTTTAATTTGTCTGTTGGTCTCTGAAACAGGTATTTGATAAATCAACAATCTTTTTATGAAACAATTCTTACAACTATATTTAAATTGTCTTTTTTAGTGATCGCATGGAAACTAAGAATATGAGAGGTAGCTTTTAGCATTTCTGTTGAGCGGAAGTTAAAACCGTTTGAGCAAAACATGGTGTGGGGAAGTTGAAACCAGTTTGATCATCATGTGGTCAGAGGAAGTCGAAACCAGTTTGATCACCTTGTGGTGTGGGGAAGTTGAAACTAGTTTGATCACCATGTGGTGAGAGGAAGTCGAAACCAGTTTGATCACCATGTGGTGAGAGGAAGTTGAAACCAGTTTGATCACCATGTGGTGATAGGAAGTTAAAACTAGTCTGTTCAGTGATCACCATGCGGTTGAAACCAGTTTAACCAGAACGTAATGAGAGGAAGTTTAAACTGGTTATTTTACGCTTGTGTGTGATCAAGAAGTCCCATGATGAAAGAAAAAATTTGTTTTATTATTTTCGATTTTAATAAAATTTATGCTTGTCACCATCTTTTTTTATACTATTTTTCTGAATAACTCGCATTGCCTGTAACAGTGCAAATTTTGAAGGCTAAAAGGGATACACAAATTAAAGTTTTATTTATTTCACAAGAAAGTTTGCCATTATAGTAGTTAAAAATTTAATTCAAAGGTAAGGAAGAAAAAATAGGTTTGTAAGAACATAATTTAAGCGAATGAAAAAGGAAAAATGAAAAGAAAGAGATTGCCCGAAGGTTGGGGAGAAAATTTCATTAAAAAGTTTCAGCTTTCATTCAAAGAAATCTTCTTCTGGCATAAAGCTGTAGGTTTTTGAAAATCAGACAACTTGCAACGCAACTCTTGATCAAGTTAATCAACAATGCCCTTATTTATTTATCTATTTAACTATCTATATACCTATCTATCTATCTTTAACTATTTCCTTGTTAATAGAGTTTAGACTGCTTTAAAAAAATACTTGATGGAACTCATTTAGAAAATATATTTCGATTTATTTCAATTCTATACAAAAACATCATATTATTTAATAATACACCAAAAATTTGGGAGAAAAAACATTAAATGACAAAAACAGATGTAAAATTTAAACTATCTATTTATTTATCTATCTATCTATCTATCTATCTTTCTATCTATTTATCTATCTATCTTTATAACTATCTTTCTGCGTATCTAACTATCTATCTATCTATCTATCTATCTATATATATTCAATTATCTATCTATCCAATTATCTATCTATCCAATTATTTATCTATCTATCTATCTATCTATCTATCTATCTATCTATCTATCTATCTATCTATCTATCTATTTATCTGTAGGTAAAGAGTTTTACTAATAAGAGTTCTAAGACAAATATTAATTAATCTTCTTTGTTATCTCCCGAATACCTAATCCGTAAGAATCAATCTAAATCTTTCCAACGTGTTAGAGGAACTTTCTCTCTTTCTCAGCTATTTTTTATTTTTCATCTATCCCCCCCCCCTCCTCTCCCCAAAGCAGCAAGAACACGTTGAATTTGATGCTACAAATATATAAAATTTTACGACTTTCATCTGCACTCGGAGCTAAATATTTTCCAGTTTTGTAAGGGGGCAATAATGTCTCTTGCATATTTGTAAACTATTTTGGAGCAAAATGATCCTACCTCTCCTACCTTTTTCGAGTTCTGAAATGGATTAGTTCTTATTTAAGGTTTATACTGGTGGAAGCTTTTATAGTAAAAGTCCTGCTGTATTTGACCTATTTATGACTACCAAAGTCCCGCTGTATTTGACCTATTTATGACTACCAATGGCGCCTGTTGAAGGCGGCCCTTGTGGAAGGGTCATTATTCCTAATCCCTGGTCATTAGTATTGGTGTTAAGTATTTTCACAAAGGTATTTTCCCAAAGGCATTTTCCCAAGAGCGACTTCCCAAGTGACAATTTTCTAAGTGGCAACTTCCCAAATGTGCAATTTCCCAAGCGGCAACTTTCCAAAGGTTAGGTTAGGCCTTCTGAGTTTCACAGGCTGCAATGGGGGGGGGGAGCGCTGCGACTAGGAAAACTGGGAATGTAGCCACTTGGGAAAATACCATTGGAAGTTGCCGCTTGGGAAATTGCCTTTTGGAAATTACCTATACATCTTAGTATTTTCTTCATCCTAAACTAAGCTTACGGTGCTTAATGCAGTGATCTGCAGTACTCTGACCGAATATATAGTGGTTTTCAGTGAAGAGTGTCTGGGATATTGATTCAAGGGGGTAATTTTAGTCAATTGATGAATGCACTTAACTATCTTATTTATAACTTTTTGTTTTTACGCAATTAAAGTACCAAGTGAAATCATCGGAAATGGAAAAACCTCAAGTAGAAATAATTCAATTATCTTTTTTATTCGTATCTTGGAACACTACAGTTAAAGTTTCTCTGTGAAAGTTCTCTGGCTAAGACAATTTGGCAAGTTTTCCCTGTCAGTTTTGCTTTGTTGGAACTTGCACTGATTTGGCAAGTTTTCCCTGTCAGTTTTGCCTTGTTGGAACCTGCACTGATTTGGCAAGTTTTCCCAGTCAGTTTTGCTTTGTTGGAACCTGCACTGATTTGGCAAGTTTTCCCAACCCACTGAGTTGGCAAGTTTTCCCTGTTAGTTTTGCCTTTTGGGAACCTGCACTGATTTGGCAAGTTTTCCCAGTCAGTTTTGCTTTGTTGGAACCTGCACTGATTTGGCAAGTTTTCCCTGTCAGTTTTGCCTTGTTGGAACCCACTGAGTTGGCAAGTTTTCCCTGTTAGTTTTGCCTTTTGGGAACCTGCACTGATTTGGCAAGTTTTTCCTGTCAGTTTTTCCTTGTTGGAACATACTGATTTGGCAAGTTTTCCCTGTCAGTTTTGCCTTGTTGGAACCTGCACTGATTTGGCAAGTTTTCCCAGTCAGTTTTGCTTTGTTGGAACCTGCACTGATTTGGCAAGTTTTCCCTGTCAGTTTTGCCTTGTTGGAACCCACTGAGTTGGCAAGTTTTCCCTGTTAGTTTTGCCTTTTGGGAACCTGCACTGATTTGGCAAGTTTTTCCTGTCAGTTTTTCCTTGTTGGAACATACTGATTTGGCAAGTTTTCCCTGTCAGTTTTGCCTTGTTGGAACCTGCACTGATTTGGCAAGTTTTCCCTGTCAGTTTTGCCTTGTGGGAACCTGCACTGATTTGGCAAGTTTTCCCTGTCAGTTTTGCCTTGTTGGAACCTGCACTGATTTGGCAAGTTGGATCAATATTGCTCAGTTCTCTACAGTACGATTTTGGAAGCAAAGGAGTTGAGTTTTTGTCACAAACATAAATTTTCTAATCTCTATATTTTTGCAATCGGATTGTGTAAACCTTTGATATTTCAAACTTAGCTTATTTTATCTAACAGAATGCATAGTTTGAAATATCACAGGTCTATGACATTGGGTTGCAAAGATGTATAGGGGTAATAAATCAAAGATTGTGGCTAGAACTCAGTTCCATTGCAAATATCTCTAACAAATATTCTGAATAGCCGTCAAGAGCCATCTATAAAGAATTTGGACCGGTCACCATTAAAGAAGAAAATAATATCAAATGTTACAGCTCCAGGATTGTGAAGAAGATGACATCAGAGGAGAATTATAGCTGTTAGTTCACAACGTCTGTATAAATTGAATTATAGTCATATCTAATCTCTGATCTAATATCTGAACCAATTTTATAATTCATGTGTTCGACAAATAAATTATAATAATATGAATATAAATTGTTTTTAATTGAATTTCCTGTAAATGAACGAAAGTGCAAAAAACTTTAAACTTAGTATTGTATTATATTTATTTGTCTTTGATGGATGTTTAATTGTTGGGTAAAATTCGCGGACAGGTAATTTTTCCCAACTTTTTCAATATTTCTTGTAAGTTTGTAATAAAGGGAATGTTCTGAGAAATGAATAATAGTGTGAGGTAACGATCATTGAACAGGGGGAGACTAATATAAAATAAAACATTTTGTTGAAAGCATAAAACGAAATCTTTAGTTAAGGATATCAAACATTCGATGGGGCAAAATTATAATTGTTAGCTTTCCTTTTCTAAGTTTGCAGATATATATGAAACTATGTGAGTAAGGAATGTACTAGGCTTGTACAGACCTTTCACGTCAAACTAAAGCAAATTTCACGTCAAACTAAAGTAAATTTCACGTCAGATTTAAATCTTTTAATCATAACTCATCTTTTGTACTATTAAGTACTATTAAGATGAATTTTTTTAATCTAAATTTCTGATACGGAGGTAGGCAATTATATCAATTTAATGAAGACGACTTTTGATTTAAATTTTGGTTTAAATCAAGCTTTAAACAGCATGGATATACAAAAACATAGAAACAGAGAGAAGCTGTCAATTAAAAAAGTTTCTCTAATTACTAGTAAACTTAGAATTAGAAAAAAGCTTGTTAACAATAAAACTTCAATAAAAAAGTCGTCTTCATTATATTGATATAATCGCCTAACACCGTATGAAACCGGGAACATTTGCTTGCTCATACTTAAAATTAAAACTACAGGAGCTACGAAGTCACAAACCTGATACTGTAATCCTTTGAATTATATTAGATCAAACTTAGATTATTTTTAACTAATAGAATTCATAGTTAGAAATATCAAGGTCTACAACATTGAGTTGTTAAGATATAGGGATTAGAAAATCAGAGTTTGTGGCAAAGACTCATTTCCTTTGTAACAGTTTTTTACATATGTATTTATTATTTTTTATTTTAAATTTTTAACAATATTCTAAAAATAGTTATATTATATGATAGGAGATACAATTGCTATATTTCGTGTTCTTCATTTTCTTCTTGTTTGTACATCTTTCAATCATATTTTAGCTAATTTTGAAAATACTTTTTAATCTCAAACAATCTTGAACTACGGTCGGTGTGAAAATTCTTTTTAATCTTAAACAAACTAGAACTATGTTCAGTGTGAAAATACTTTTTTAATCTCAAACAAACTAGAAAAAGTAAAAATCCCGGCAAAAACTTTTTCGCACTTAATAATAGTAATACCCATCACAATGATATAAATATATTTGACTGGTTAATATGTTTGGTCAACGTAAGCATTTGCATAATGTAATTTAAAAGCAAACTTATCAAGGTTAACATTTTGAAATAGAATCAACATCTCATCTTTGTGATCCTCTGAAAAGTCTAAAAACTTTTGAAATAGTAAATGTTCTTGGATTATTATTTAAGAAAACTATGTCCGAATTTAACGAATTTGAGCTGCGTCTTAAATCCGTCAAAACCGGTTTCAATTGAGCGCCGACTTACATCTTGAAACAACAAATACGATTTTAACTGGAACCAATCATAGTTGAGCCGTGGCTCAAATTCTTTAAATTTGGCCCCCCTAGATGTAGAACTGAGAATTCTATCCATCAGCAAGTTTACCTAAAATATAGAATGGTAAACAACCAGAGCTGTGACCTTTTTTGTTTGATACTCATAATCGTGATCTCGATATCCAATATATGTGGGCACTTTTAATTTGAGAATCAATGTGGGTACGATCACATTGCGGGATATCGAAAAAAAAAATTTGGGGGGGTTTTAATGAAATTAACTTTAATATTTCTTGAATTTAATGGACTCAAAATCTAAAACAATTTATTCACTCTAGATGTTTGGGTGTGTTGCAAAGTTATAGGAATTAGAAAATCAGAGTTTGTGGCAAAAACTCAATTCCTTTGTTCATCTCGTCTTGGATTTAAAGATATATACTCCTAAAAAAGTGTTAGTTTTGAAACTAATATCCCCTGAATTAAAAATAAACAATATACCCCATAACTGTGTCAGGTCACTCAGTCCCTAAACAGATTGTCCAGTTTCATAAAAAATGTAGAAAACAATAGGAAATCTGACTCAGGTTAAAGAGACACCTCGTTTTTTCTTTCAGCTTCCGGACCTGATTTGTTGGAAGACTGTAATGGAGATTTAATAGATTTTAAATAAAAAAGATTTTCCGGGAAACTTTCTTTGTTGTAACTTTATTACCTAGATTGTTGTAGTGTATCCTGAGCCTCATAAATCCTGCTCCTTGGTCAGGTCAGATTACTTCCAGTCCTATCTAGCCATAGAGAAGGTAGAATACAGTACATACCTTACCACCTGATACAGATACAGTGAGACCCAGAGAACTCCGGAAAGGGAAGACGACTTTTACACTCATATTTTGGTTTTAAATAGTTCAGTGAACATGTAACACTCCAATCGTGCAGTGTTCACAGTCCCATTTCACTTAATCAGTTTATTTTCAAACATTTGGTAAAGCTATTTGCTTCATAACAACTTTAAATAAATCGTTTTCCTGTTCCACAGTTTGTGAGTCTCATTGCAGTACATGTTTTGAGTGTACAGTCTAAAGCCTGCAATATGTACAGTTAACATTTTTTTTTAGAATTGCAGCCTTTTATCTGAACAGTGCCCCAAAATGTACAGCTTATATCAAACAGTTTTTAGTCTTGCGGAGTGTTATATATTAAAACACAGAATTGTATAGAGATACGTATATGTACAATATGCATGTTTAGAATATAAATATATCAATTTTGTCAGATAAATTATTTTCCTAGACTTCATATTTAACAATGTTAAATGCTTCAAGTTACATCTGTTAAACTTTTTAAAGATTAGAGAGCAAAGATTTGATTTATTAACTTTAAATAAGAAATAAAAACTAGAACGGCCATCAGATTTAAATGTACTTATATCTCACATGTAACCTCATGTACCTCATGTACCTCATATGCTTAAAAAATAAGTGTTTATCGGAAATAAAAATAAAAATAAGATAATTACGAACAGAATCTGTTTAAGAGTGGATTCCGTTATGACCATTTACCATATCTGAACGCCCCTGGAGAAATCGGGGGGACGTCACCCTCCCCGGAAAATTTCTGGAGAGCGCCGGGAGGGGGGGGGGAATATGAAAACAGAATCTAAATGTTTTTAATTCTTTATATTTTCAGATTGTTAAGGATGCGATGCAGTATCCAGGGGGCAACAAGCATCATGATTATGCAGGAAAACAAAATATTAAAAGATTATAAAAAAACACTAAAAAAACTTCTGGAACATCTGTACAGATTCCTCATATTGTTTGAAAAAAACAATTTGTCTCTAAAAAATAAGTTTTGAACTTTTTATGAATATTCTTTCATATTTGAATTAAGTTGAATTAAAGTTAGAATCGTTTTTAACAAAATGCAAATCATAATTCATAAAGAAAAGGCTAGACTTGAAGAAAAGAAATAACTTTATGTATATATATAATTCAATTAGTTCAACTTTCAAATAAAAAACCTTTTTTATCTTTTTAACATTATCATTAATATTAACTTTTACAGAGTAACCACAAATAAGCATAAAAAGATTTAAAAAGTCATGCCTATCTAATTCATACTTCATCAGATAAAGCTTTTAATGGTACTCTTGTAAATCGGATATTGCCTCTTTGCATTTAGGGTCACTTGAAATTACGCTTAGGTTCCTTTTCACACTAATATAGTCACGAGAATCTTGATTTAAAAATATCTGAACTAGTTGAATAGTAAAAGTAACCAACTCTAAGCTGTTTCTCACAAAATTTAAGAATTATTTCAAACATGATTTTATTTTAATTTTGATTATTCCAGTGTTTTAATATTTCCTACAAATATTTTGTTTTGGGTTTAGTTAATATCCTGGAGCCAGGGAGCCAGGTAGTAAAAACTAAATTATGAAAATTCATGATTTAAAATCTGTGATAATTTATATATCTTAACTTTCAATCTTGATAGGCCTAGATAATTTCTGTTTAAAGTCGTTAAGAACCGATTGAAGGTTAATGATAGTTGTCGTCAACAATGGTTTATCGTTAACGATGGTTGATTGTTAACGATGGCGGATCTTTCACGATATTATACCGTTAATAATGGTTGATCTTTCATGATATTTGACTGTTGATGATGGCTGATCTTTCACAATGGTGGATCTTTCACGATGGTTGATCTTTCACAATGGTTGATCTTTCACAATATTTGGCTGTTAATAATGGTTGATCTTTTGCAATGGTTGATCGTTCACAATGGTTGATCTTTAAAGATGGTTGACCGTTAATGATGATTGATCTTTCACGATATGAGGCCGATAATCAGGCGCGTATGCAGGATTTTAGCCAAGGGGGGGGGTAAGATTTTTTTTGGCCCCCCGCTGGCCTTAAAAATGCTGTTATTTTATATTATGTCTACTACATGTCACCTATGTGACCCATTATAGTCCGGATACAAGGACTATATAATATAATGTATCCCTCTGTATAGTTCTGCATTTCTCTCTGAAGTCCTAAGAGTAGTCTCCTGAAGACTATCATTAGTTCCTCTTTCCTCCCTTAATCCTCCTTTCTTAATGTAATCTCCCCCTGACCTTCATAGGGATTGCGGGAAGACATGCCAAACACTTGCATTCTGCGTAATGCATACAAAGGGGTTTAAAAAACGGGGAATAAGGATCTACAGATTTGTTTGTAATCGGATTAACAAGATAGAGACCATTTTAGAAATCTACGTACAATTTTCGATTCAATGAGTACAATTTTAGGCTTGTAGATTTAAAAATGACAATTTTTTATGCTCATAAAGTTTTCTAATCCTTATAAAATTCATAGTTTGAAATATCTAAGGTCTATGGCATTGGGTTGCAAAGATATAGGGATTAGAAAATTTGAGTTTGTGGCAAAGACTCAAATCCTTTGGTAGAAATAAAGATAATCTCTGTTTGCACAATTTTGTATGCGTGTCTGAAGACTTGTTTGTAATCGGATTTTCCAGATTGAGACCCTCTTTTAAATCTATGTACAATTTCCGATTCAATGAGTCCATTTTAAGGCTTGTATTTCTAAAAATAGCAATTTTTTATGCTCCTTAAGTTTCCAAATGGAGCTAGTAACAAGTAAAAGATAATCTCCGTTTGCATACTTTTATATTCAATGTTAGGTTTGCAATTTAGTTTGAACATTTGATATCAACTTACTTGTAATCAGCCTCATTTGCTATCAATTCACTTGCTACCTGGACCACTTGCTCTCGACCTCACTTGCTCTCGCCACACTTGCTCTCGACCTCACTTGCTCTCGCCACACTTGCTCTCGACCTCACTTGCTCTCGCCACACTTGCTCTCGACCTCACTTGCCATCAAAACGTTTAAACCTGTTTAACTATCTGTTTAGTATTTGATAAGATTGTTAAAATCCAAACTTTTCAAATCTGTCAGTTCAGGGAAAATTTAAATAAAATTTTACATCAGAGTTGGGAAAATGAATAATAATTCAGATACTCAAAACCTGATTAGTAGTTACACAATAAATTATTTAAAACTAGAATAAAGCGGAGGAAAAGTCGTCTTCGTTTTAAATTATCTAGCAATTAATATCTATTTGCAACATATATAATTGTTTATGTTTTTTTTCAATCAAAATACATTTATAAACATCGGTAGGTGTCATATCATTACTTTTTGTGTACTTGTAATTGTTTTGAAATAATTAAACACCTGATGAGATTAACTGTCGCGAGGGCGACAACCAAAGAGATTAACCAAAGAGAATAGAATATATTAGAGTGGAATTTAAATAATCCCTTGGTATGAAATTTGTCAGTCCCTTTTAGCCTGGACATATCCATTCCAATTTCTTTTTTTTATAAAGTTGTTAAATAACTTTAAACGTGTGTATTTGCTATTCGTGAATTAAACATTAAAAAGTAAAAATCGTCGTTTTTAAGGTGAATTTCATAAGAAAACTTTTCTATAAGATGATGTTCCAGGGCCCAAAAGGTTATATAGCACAAATGTGTGAAGTACACCTGCAATATGGAAACAGTCCAACAAAATGGCCGTTTTACACTTTTTTCGAGTAAATTCCACTCTAATGTATTATATTCTCTTTGCGATTAACTGATTAACGACAATGGATCGAATCCAGATCAAAACTGAATCTTAGTACTGAATTTCGTTATTCTATTTTAGTTGGCAGGATATAGTAGGAAAGGTTCAAGACCCTGAAGAATACAGACCTTGGGCCATTTCATCCTCTAAACATGAACCTCCAATGATAAGTAAACCTCCAACTAGACCTCCTAAACTCCATATGAAACCCGAACCTCCAATAAAATCTGAACCTGCAAAAAAACCTGTGCATTCACAGAAACCTGAACCTCCAATGATAAAAAAACCTCCAATGATAAATAAACCTCCAGCTAGACCTAAACCTGCACTTAATCTTGAACCTCAAATGAAACCTTACACAAACACCGAGGATCAAAGGAAACCTGAACCTCCACAGATAAATGAACATTCTCTAAAAGATAGACCTCCAACTAAGCCTGAACCAGTATATAATCATGAACCTATAATGAAACATGAACCTGTAATTAAGCGTGAACATCCAATGAAATATCAACCTGAACCACCAATAAAAAAGGAGACTTTGGTGAAACATGAACCTCCCATGAAACCCAAACCTCCAACAAAATCTGAACCTCAAGATAAATATGAAACTGGACTTAAGCCTAAAACTGGGCCTCAAATGAATCATGAATCTCCAATGAATCATGAAACTCCAACGAATCGTGATTCTCCAATGAATCATGAAACTCCGAAGAGCCATGAATCTCCAATGAGTCATGAATCTCCAATGAGTCACAAATCTCCATTGAATCATGAATCTTCAAAGACTCCTGAATCTCCCATGAATCATGAGACTCCAATAAATCATGAATCTTTAAAGACTCCTGAATCTCCAATGAATCATGAACCATCAATAAAGCAGTATCCCGAAGAGAAGCATCAAACTTTAGTGGAGATCGAACTTTCAATCAGTCCTGAACAAATGATTAATCAAGAAGAATCTGGAAAAGATTCTGATCTTCGTGAAAATATTATTAAAGATATCATTTCTGGATACATAGCTGATCCTGCTGGTTATACTGGAGGGAACAAAGATGACAAAGCTATCAACCCAAGGGGGAGGAAAAGTCCTTTTTTGCAATTTTTACAGATTAATAAAATAATTGGCTAAAAGATAAATAGTTCTATTTAAACGGTTTTTTCTAGTCTAATTATTATTTTTTTTCATTAATTTCGAATTTTGATAAAATTTCGGCTAATTTTTGGGGTTAGTTGATTAAAAAGGATTTTCCAAGATTGGGTTCAGATGAACAGTCACCAATAATTCTCAAAGGTAAATGCAATAAAGATTTTTTGAATGAAAAAATGTTGGAGATGACAATATAAAAATGTAATAGCTGTTGATGAGATATTTTTCTGCCATTGTATTGGTAAAAATTTCAGTAAATAAACAAATGTTTGCGTTAGTAAACGAAATTAATAAAAATTTCATGAACTAAACTTGGAATTTGATAATTTTTTTCCTTTCAAACAGGACATATCTAGCATCCTTATTGGCCGGTTCCTAAGTTTCGACTTTGAATATCATATAAATATAAATTATTTATTACATTAGAAAACAGTAGCAGTATTATCAATGGAAGCAGCAGCTATGGAAGCTATAGTAGTGATAACAGCAGTAGAATGAGCGATGAAAGGAGCAAAAGCATTATTAGCGACCTAAATAAAGTAAGATTTATTTGGGATAAATTTCACTTTAAATGTATTTGAATTTATCAAATTGTAGTATTTTGTTCGTTACGGGAATGAAACTTGGAGTTAGAGATAAAAGATAATAAGCAATAATCTTTTTTTGGAGAGGGATGGGATGACTTTTTTTACCTTTAATGTTTTCTTGGTTAAGGAAGAAGTTTTGAAACCAGCCAACATGAAGTCTATGCGAAGTATTCAGGAACCGATAAAACAAAGTAGTAGGTAAGAAAATTAGAGAATAACCCACGTCTGTCTAGTTTTTTTAAACTGAATTTCCTCTTTATATTTCAGTGATGGTAGTGGTATTGGGTATTAATATTTACAACATGCTGAATTGCTAATTGAATTATTTGTTGTTAAAAGTAAGAAAAACGATAATAAAAGAAAATCAGGAGTGGCAGTGTTTTCAAATTGATAACTTAGACAAGACCTACACTGAAGACATAAAGCAAACTTTTTTTTAGAAGTGTGTAAATTCAAGTGTTATGATCATTTTACAGTAAAATTATCTATTTTAGGCCCCCTTATCCTCCAAAACCACCAACCCCGGAGGAACATTTTCCATTAAAACCCAATACAGAGACAGAGCAGCATTCTTTTTCTAAACCCGCTTTGAGTTCAGATCAGCTCTCTCCTTTGAAGACCCCTCCAACCCCAATGCCAAGTTCTTCTCCAAACCTCGTAATGAGCTTAGTACAAAATGCTCCCCCAAAGCCCTCTCAAACTCCAGGGCAGCAAACTCCTCCAGAACGCCATCCAACCCTAGAGCCACATTCCCCAGTAAAGCCATTGTCACCCAAAGAGCATTCTTCTGAGAACCCCCCTTTAGCTCAAGAACATCCACATCCTCCAGAGCAGCATTCATCACTGAAACCAGCACAAACAGCTGAGCACAACTCTCCTGTGAAACCACTTAAAACTGAAAATTATTCACTTCTACAACCTCCTCCGACTTCTGAGAAATATTCTCCACCAAAACCCTCTTCAGCTATTGAGAAACATTCACCTCCTACACCTCCTCAAACTCCTGAGCAGGATTCTTCTCCAACATTCCCTCCAACTTCTGAGCAACATTCTCTTCCGACACCTCCAAAGTCCCCTCTTACTTCAGAGCATCATTCCCCCCCAAAACCCCCTCTAATTCCTGAGCAGCATTTACCTTTAAGGCCCCCTCCCACTCCTGACCATCATTCCTCTCCAAAATCTCAATCAACTCCTGAGCACCATATACCTCCAAATCCCCCTACAGCTCCTGCGCAACACTCTCCTGAAAAGCCTCCTCAAACCCCCCAGGAACACTCTCCCCCAAAACCCCCTAAAGCTCCTGCAAAACACTCTCCTCCAAAGCCTCCTCCAACCCCTGAAGAACACTCTCCTCAAAAACCTCCTCCAACTCCTGAACAACACTCTCCTCCAAAACCTCCTCCAACTCCTGAACAACACTCTCCTCCAAAACCTCCTTTAGCTCCTGAACAACAAACTCCTCCAAATTCTTCTCCAACTCCTAAACAACTCTCTCCTCCAAAACTTCCTACAATTCCTGAACAACACTCTCCTCCAAAGCCTCCTTCAGCTCCTGAAGAAAACTCTCCTCCAAAGCCGTCTTCAGCTCCTGAACAACATTATCTTCCAAAGCCTCCTCCAGCTCCTGAACAACACTCTCCTCCAAAGCCTCCTACAGCTCCTGAACAACACTCTCCTCCAAAGCCTCCTTCAACTCCTGAACAACACTCTCCTCCAAAAACTCTTGCAGATCCTTCACAACACTCTCTTCAAAAGCCTCCTTCAACTCCTGAGGAACACTCTCCTCCTAAACCTCCTTCACCTCACAAACAAATCTCTCCTCCTAAACCTCCTTCAGCCTCTGAACAACATTCTCCTCCAAAACCTCCTCCAGCTTCTGAACAACACTCTCCTCCAAATCCACATCCAGCTTCTGAACAACACTCTTCTCCAAAACCTCCTCCAGCTTCTGAACAACACTCTTCTCCAAAACCTCCTCCAGCTTCTAAACAACACTCTTCTCCAAATCCTCCTCCAGCTCCAAAACAAAACTCTCCTCCGAAGCCTCCTCCAACTCTTGAACAACACTCTCCTCCAAACCCCCCACAAAAGTCTGAAGAGTATTCTCCACCTATAAAACCCCAAATGAGAGTTCCTGCACAGTATCCGAGTATTTCCGAGCATCCAGAGATCCAACAATTCCGTTTTGGAGGTAAGAAATTTTTTTTTCTATGAAGAACCTGTATACGTCATTGTTTCAAGCAGAAAGGATTGTATAACGCAAACATGCATTAACAAGTTTGATAAGTTTTATATTCGGTGATGGTGATGGACCAAACCTCTGTAGAGTAAAAAAGTAGATGTTAGTACCACTTATCTATCTCGAGATTATCTATATCTCTAGAATATCTGTCTCTAGATTATCTATATCTCTAGATTATCTATATCTCTAGATTATCTATATCTCTAGATTATCTATATCTAGATTATCTATATCTCTAGATTATCTATATCTCTAGATTATCTATATCTCTTGATTATCTATATCTCTAGATTAAGCTCTTTTGCTCACTGTTTACTTTAAGATCAATCAAAAATAAAAAGGACTGTTATTTCCTAAAATTCAATAATAAAAAATAATTCCTACGTCTTTGGTTTAAATTTTGTAAATTTTCTACATTCAAAAATATTATTTAAAAATGATGAAAATGTTTTAGGAATCCTTTCCTGTTTATTCTTCATAACTGTTCTTTTATAAACCTTCTCTACCTGAAATGTATATTTTATAATTGCTCTGAATTTGAACAGATTTTCTGTAGAATTTGATCCTTTGATCTACAGTGCTATTATGGCGGTTATAAACTAGAACAAATACATAAATATCTCTGGCTATCCTAAATCAAAACTGAATTTATATTTATAAATACAAAATAGTAATCTCTGTTTGTCTATCTGTCTGATTGTATGCTGATCTTACATACAAACCAAAAGACAGAGTGATTACTACTGTAATACATATTAATATCTGGGTAAAGGAGCTGAGTTTTTGCCTCTAACTCTATTTTTCAATCCCTATAACTTTGCGGCCCAGTGTCGAAGACCTTAGATATTTCAAAGCTATATTAGAAAATATGAGTTTGCGACAATATCTCAGTTCCTATAATGTATAGATTGCTGGGTAGGTTCACTCTGTAGTCTGTACATTACATTATGTTTGAGGTATCTAACATAGTCCTGCACCTACATATTGCGTACATCATTCACACAACTAACTATCATTTATGAATTTGATATAATACTTTAATCAAAACTAATATCATGCAAACCAAGGGCGTATACAGGGGGGGGGGGCTAGGGGAGCAGTGCCCCCCTAGAACTCAGAGCTTTCACACTATTCAAATCTTAAACTCAAGAGTGAAGAACCAAAAAAATGGGTCAGTGCACTAAGAAGATTGTATCAGTGGACCAGAGCCACCATGACAGAAGTCCGAATGAAAAATCTATTTAGAAATTTCTGTATACGCCCTTGATGCCAACTTAGTTAATATTAAAATGTTTAAATATAAAACATGAGTTGATGCCTATTAAAGTGAGCAAAAGCCAAATTAACATTAGCACGCTTCTTTTTCAACTTTCAATTGTTGTTCTATCGGTGAGAATATTATCTCTCGTACATTACAAAACAAAACAAAAATATTTCGCAGATTTTTTTTCACGTGGATTTTTCAAATTTTACGAAAAACGAAATGTTTGTGAGGTACATTTTTTAAATTCTGACCATTCATGATCTTCCCCGGGGTCATTATAGTGTTCCCATAAAAAAAATGGTTAAGCCGTTTTGACGTTTATTGGATAGAAGCAAATAGACACACAGACAAGCAAAGTATTTATATTGATGCTGATTAAAACTGAGTATGTTTCTATTTAATACTAAATGAAAAATTCCAGTAAATTTCAATTGAATGTTACTTGTTAGCACGTAATAATAAATGTCAATTGAATGTTACCATATAATAGTAGATTTCAATTGAATGTTAGCACGTAATAGTAAATGTCAATGGAATGTTAGCACGTAATAGTAAATGTGTCAATTAAATGTTAGCACGTAATAGTAAATGTCAATTGAATGGTAGCACGTAATGGTAAATGTCAATTGAATGTTTGCAAGAAATAGTAAATGTCAATTGAATGTTAGCAAGTAATAGTAAATGCCCATTAAATGTTAGCACGTAATAGTAAATGCCAATTAAATGTTAGCATGTATTAGTAAATGTCAATTAAATGTTAGCACGTAATAGTAAATGTCAATTAAATGTTAGCACGTAATAGTAGATGTCAATTAAATGTTAAAACGTAATAGTAAATGCCAATGAAATGTTAGCACGTATTAGTAAATGTCAATTAAATGTTAGCACGTATTAGTAAATGTCAATTGAATGTTAGCACGTAATAGTAGATTTCAATTGAATGCTAGCACGTAATAGTAAAGGTGCCAATTGAATGGTAGCACTTAATGGTAAACGTCAATTGAATGTTTGCAAGAAATAGTAAATGTCAATGGAATGTTAGCACGTAATAGTAAATGTCAATTAAATGTTAAAACATAATAGTAAATTCCCATGGAACCTCAACTTGTTTGTAGCAAATTCAAAATGAATACTTATGACAAACAATGGTTAAACATTAGCACGTTCTCCTATTTTTTCTAAAAATTGTATTTATATTTTCAATTTGATGCAGGGTAGTTAGTACCCTATATATAGTGTATAGGGACGACACAAAATCTAATTATTCATTCATTGTAATATCCCCTGGAATAATCCGAAATAAGCCAGGGAATCTTACAAAGGGAGAATACAGTCTTACAAAACAAATATGAAATACATGGAAAAATGAATGACAAATATTTGTTTTCTTGGAGGAAGAAATCCTAGGTCCCAATTAGACCATAAACAATTCATTATTTTCCAAAGAGTACTAAAAATATAAATGCTTAGTCCAATGCAATACAATACTGAAATACATCATGTATTATTTTTAATACATTTTTCAATTTTTTATTCTGCAATGGGGAGAAGGGGGTAAAAAGTTATAGACTGGTGAAATACATTTTATATACTTTAATTTGACTCCATTTTGTTACATTTTGCCACCCTACAATAGTTGAAAAAAAGTAAAAACTTATGAATAGAGCTGGAAAGTTAATCATACATAATTCAGACGCGTATTCAGCCGGGAAGGGGGGGGGGCTAAGTAAAATCATAATATCCCCCCCCCCCTCCCCGCGAAAGTTTTAGAAATATAACCTTTGATACATACTTATTATGGTAAGTAAAATTTTGTTTCCTTGCCTCTTTTTTACCCTCTTCTTTGTTTCGTTTTGATTTTTATGCGATATTGTAGGAGGAAGTATGCCGGATGAGGTTGGAAGGATCCTAAACGGAACTGTTCAGATATTACAGAAGAAAGGGCTCACACTAGGGGGAGAAAATAAGGTACAAGTTAGGGCCACGTCAAACTAAAGTAAATTTCACGTAAGATTAAAATCATTAATGCTTTCAATCATAGCTACTACTTCATAGCCCAGAGACAATAAATTGCAGTGCACAAGATGCGTACACCTATAAAAACTATCTTTACTTTTTTATTCTTTGCTGTCAATAAACCTTAACTGGGTTAATATGAGTTGCTAGAAAAATGCAGGCCCGATCGAAAAGCCGGTTTGACGTTTATTGGAGTCAATCAAAGCTCTTATCGACGAGCTATTAAGATGTTTTGAATATATAAAGTTTACGCGGATAAATTGTTGTCCTTACACGTGTACGTGAAATCAAAACTAGAGGAGCTACGAGGTCACAAGGTCGTGCCAGTGATGTCGCATAAATTTGACTTTCTCCTTCTGTCTAGCTAACAGTAAGGAGGGAGGAGTGGGATTTAGGACCTTAATAATATGAGAAAGGGGCCTTGTTTCATTTTTTCGACCTTTTACATGTACTTTTTTCACTCTGAAACCCAGTTTTGTCACAAATTCACTTGCACAAACAAAAATAAATCATCATAATCTTAATTTTTTCAGGGATGTGGTCCAAACGAAGTTTATCTTCTTGACAAGGAAACTTTTATTCATTGTTAATCTTTATTTATGTATAATGTATGTTTATATTGTTATTTCTTTTTTTAAAAAGGAATAAGTTATAATTTTAGAAATATGTTCATTTTTTATTTTATTTATTCAAAACCAATATTTACGACCGATGAATCCCAGCTGGGTGTTAAGTTACTTAATTACAAATACGTAAAACCTCCAAAGAGAATAAAATATTGTTGTTTGAATATTGAATATAAGGTTGTTGAGTTAGGAGAAAATGGTTCTTGTCTCTTCTGGTAACATTGCTCATGAGCTTACAGGTCATTTATTCGAAAATTTTGGGTGGCAAAATTCCAATTCAAGGTCAATAAAGTAATTTTTAGAAAAATGAAAAAACTTTTGCTTTTGTTAAATGGCTGTCTGTACGTTCAAGGCTGTATTCTAAAACTTATAATTACATTTTTTAACCTCACAAATTCATAAAAATCTAACTTATCTATTTATTATTCTATGTTGAATGAAACAGTGTCTTTTTTCTTGTAAGTTTAAGCTTTATTTGATTTTGAAGGATATATGATATTCAACATACTTTAAAGTGTGTGGGACGTTTTTTTATGAAATTTGAAATTCAAATAATACATTTTATGTTGAACAACAACAATAAAATAAAAATAAAAATGTATGTTTTATCATAGTTCTGGTCAAATTGAAATATAAAGATAATATCTAAAAAATCTAAAAATTGGACTATGTTAAATATGTTATTTAGTTATGCAAGATGTGATCAGGTTGGCATGGATTTGTGTTTGAATATATATAGATTGTTTGATCAAATATTAAAATTAAAATTAATTCTATTTTCATTCAAGTATTTTTCATGCTTAGAACAAAACTATTTTTCATCTATCTCCGGATAAAGTAATTAATACAAACTCTAATTTTCAAATTCTTATAACTTTGCAACCTTATAGTGTATTTCTTTAAATTTTGATTTGCGAAGATATAAGGAATGAGGATAAAAAAGAGTTTGTGGAAAAGACGAAATTTCTTTGTCACTTTTAATTAAAATATTTTGATTACATTTTCAACAATTTTTTTACCACAAACTCTGATTTTTTAATCCCTATATCTTTACAACCTTATATCGTAAACCTTTGATATTTCAAATTATAAATTCTGGTAGATTAAGTAGTGTAAGTTTGAAATATTAAAGGCTTGCACATTCAGGTTGTAAAGATTTAGAAATTAGAAAATATCTGTTTGTGGCAAAAACTCAATTCCTTTCGAAACTAAAAAATCCCACATTATTCTGCAATATCAGGTCTTAAAAACATAGGTCTTAAAAACAAACAATTCAGTGCTTTTTTTCACTAGCATTCCCTTTAAAAACATTTTTCAATTAAATATCATTTCAGATGTGCAAGATAAACTCTTCAAAGAATCCTTTTAAAAAGTTTAATTATTTCATTTCAGTTAAATTTTTGGAATTAGTAATTTAAATTCTCTGGAATATTCTAGTAGGTGGTCTGTAAACCGTCAGGATTAACATATTTACAAGAGATAAAGACTTAAAGCCTGTTTCTGGTTTCAGGTTTAACTAGGTTTGAGGATAATCTTCTCAACCAAATTAAAAACCAGGAATCCATCATCCAAACTTTAAAAGCAAGGTGACTTTTATTTTGTAATTTACTAAACAAATAAAAAAAATCATAACACAAAATGTCTTTTTATAGATTGGAATTCCAAGATAGTCAGGGAAAGAAATTTTCAATGATACAAAAATTCAAAATATTTGACTCTGTTCACTTTAAAGTCAGCAATTTTAACATAACATGTTCTAGAATGGATTCAAAGCAGAGTTTTTAAAATTTATCTAAGAACCGATGCAAAAGATATTTTGTATTTCTGGCTGAAAATTTAAAAAATTGAAAATATCTGGTAGGCTGCAAACATTAACAATATCATGAGATCATTTAAAGCTACAGATGAAGAAAACAGTGTGGAACTTAGGCAATATATTAGAAAACAATGATATTTTGTTAAAAAAGAACCTATCGCTCTGAAACATAATAACGAAAACATTTTGGATTGATTTAATTGGGAGTTTTATAAGAATTTGACATAAGTCCTTCATGGATAAAAAGTTGATCGGTCGATTTTTAGTAGATTTTAAATGTTTAACAGGGTACATAATATGGTCACAATATCTGTTTTTGGCCCTGCAACGGGAAATACTGGTCACGTGATTCCTGTCTGTATCATGTGACAACGATACTGCACTGCCATTGGCTGAAGTTCTGGTGACGTACTACGGACTATACGGACTATATATTATCAATTATATCTATTAAAAATGCAAAATAAAAATTAAAAAATTATAATAGGAACAAACTGGAGATTCTCAGGCTCCTGTGGGATATCGTCGTTTTCAAATTGGTTGCGTATTTGTTAAGTATGATCTATTTAATACTACAACATATATACAAAATTGCGTATTTATGAATTTTCGTATAACTTTGACACAGTTGTATATCAATTTCACGAGACAGGAACATCAGATAGATGTTTCATATGTATCTGTTATGTATCTGTTTTCTTAGGTTTCATTCAACACCCCCTTTCATATTTCCTTTACAGTGTGATAAATATAAAATGGTGTCCTCCCTATTTACGATGAAAGTCGACAATCTTATGGGTAGACTACAATGCCTGGTCGTAGACAGACAAAAATAAATGTTCCCCCCTGGGAGCTCCTAGGGCAGGGGGGGGGGGGGACAAAATTTAAACTGTAAATTCAAAACATTTGGCTTCTTTGATACTTAAAGGTAAACATAGAGTCTAATTACCTTACAAGTACTTCTTTATCCCTCCTTCAAACAAAACTAGCAGGAAAAAAACAACTATTTTTTTTATTTTCTTCACTCTTCAGTTTCAGATTTTTAAGTGTTATAGCTCTGATTTCTAGGGGGGGGGGGGCTAGGCCCCCCCCTTACAGGTCTAGGGGAGGTACTGCCCTCTCTGTATACGCCCTTAGTAGACTTGTTGGGAACCCAGCTTTTCTTGAAAACCAAGTTTTTCCGTTAAAAGTTACCTTTCATCTTTTCAACTTTTAAACCAAGATAAAAACATTTCCGTGGTTCTTTACAGTTTCCAAATACAAAAAGTGAGGCAACTCGGTCACAGGGTTCTTTACAGTTATGATCAGACATATTAACAAACAGACAAAGCGAGACTACTACTTTATATTTATAGAAATGAATATAAAGTTTTACCTGTAGTAAATCAGCAAAACACAATAAACGTGTTTCATGTTTAAAATCATCGGGTGAGTTGAAGAGTTGTTTTCCAGATTCCACAGTTTTACGAGTTACACTGTATTTGTAACTAATATATGTGTGAGTAGAATGACTAAGGATGAGCTTGTGAAGGCCCGGGAGAAGAACAATAGGTTGAACCAGGAGAACCTGGACCTGGCCAAGGAGCTGGAGAAGGTCCAGCACGAGCTCAGGAATCTCCAGATCCTTGTGCACATCAAGGATTCTAAAATTGAGGAACTCAAAGAAGAATTATACAATGGATCAACAACTCTAGAGAGGAACCATCTCAGGTATGATAGGATCAACAACTCTAGATAGGAACCATCTCAGGTATTATAGGATAAACAACTCTAGAGAGGAACCATCTCAGGTATTATAGGATAAACAACTCTAGAGAGGAACCATCTCAGGTATTATAAGATAAACAACTCTAGAGAGGAAACATCTCATGTATCATAGGATAAACAACTATAGAGAGGAACCATCTCTGGTATTACAGGATAAACAACTCTAGAGAGGAACCATCTCAGGTACTATAGGATAAAAAACTCTAGAGAGGAACCTTCTCAGGTATTATAGGATAAATCACCCCTCACCACCACCCCCTCTAGGACATATTAGATTGTAGCCTTTTTTATTTAAGTTAAAAAACTGTATTTAACTTTTTGTATCTTTACATATAAAAAAGAATTTTTTCCCCAATGGGAGACAGAAAGGTCGTGTAAACTAAAAATCATCTACCCCCCCCCCCCCAAATATCCCTCTTCCTTATCTCAAAATACAAAATACAAAGTACTTCTGTACTAATGAGTTACCCAACTCCGAATAAAGCTTTATTAAACCTAAAATTTATTTTAACTTTCTAGAATTCCAACAGTTTTATTAATTAGAATATCTGTAGCTGGCATAATCCCTAATTAGCCAAGTCTAATCTGTCATGCTTTGTTATTAAACCACAATTTTTGCAGGCAATGAGAAGAAAAAACTCAAAAGTTAAAAATTTATTTATAACTTATTTTCAATATTTTTTATAAACTTTTTTGCACCCTTCTCCTCAAGTGTTTATGTATATTGTCTAACACTGCAAGTATCCTGTTGACTGTATACTTTTAGTTATAGTATTGTTTAAATATGAACCGTACTAAAAAAATTCTTTGGCATGCTTCCTTTAGTTCCTTTCTCATGTTAGTTTTGGTTTAGAAAAAAGAAGATAAATCGAAAATAACTGGAGGGGGAGGGGGGGGGGTTAATGGATAGATACTAACTTCAACAAAATTGTGATCTAGGGAGGAGGTGCAGAACTATAATAAAGATGCAGAACATGAAAGAATTGCAAGAATAAAGCTTGAAAAGAATATGCAGGATCGAAATGCCGCCGCTATACAGGTCGGAAACAAAATCAAATTTTAAGGGTCTGTACGCGTAATTTCAAGTCACTCTCTATTCAAAGATGAAAATGCCCGATTCACAACTGTACCCAGATTTGAAACCTCTCACTGTCCACTGATCAATAATGTGGAAGAAAACGACGTTTTTCTGACTCGGAAAGCGTTTATTTCCGTTGATCTCTCCATTGTTTAAGTCTACTTTGCAGAGAAACCAAAAATAGAAAAAAGCCTGGATATCTTATTGATCAGAAAAATATTTTAAGATTACCGTTGTAAATCGGGCATTTCCATCTTTGCATGCAGGGTCAATTATGACAAGGTGAAATTTCCAATATACAATTTTACAACGGATACTCAATAAATTTTTAGATTATTTCATATCGACATAGTTTAAAATTGTGTATGCTTTAGTAATCAAGCTCCTTTTTAAACGTAATTTCAAGAGAAGTTTCAGTTTTTCTTACCGGAATTTACGATTTACAAAAGTGCTCTTTTGCTTAGTCTAAAATACATGATATGTCGATGTTCTTCTAATAAGAAGTTAATTATGTTAAATTGCGGTTTTTCTCAATTTAAGATAAATAGTGCATTTCTCTTTTAGAGACTTCAAACAGCATATAGAAAATTAATACGTTTCAAGCTAAAAAAAACGAGGATATCTTCCACGTGATGGACTCGATAAAGGTTTTAAGGGAACCGTTGTCAATCGCGCATTAAATGGAAGTTTACATGGAATTATAAACTAGCGTTCTTTTAACTATATTCGGAAAACGCGAAGGTATTTTGGAAATATAAATTATTTTGGAGATGTGTGGTATCTTTGAAGGGGGAATTTTCTTGTGGTTTGGTTTTTTTTTCTAATTTAAAAATTAGGGGCTTTATGTCACTAGGCGCATTTTTTCAAATTATTTAACAATCTCTTTTATATAAACTATGTTTACCTTTAGTTACCAGAAGCTGCAGCAATGTCAGCTTCAGCAGTGTCTGGGAAGAACCTGGAGCTTCTTCAGGATGAGATTCACCAACAGGATCAGAGGATTCAACTACTTGGTCAACAGGTTCAAGAGCAATCTGTGTAAGTTTAAAGCGACTGATTCTTCTTTTTTGAAGTTGATTGTCCGATTCACAACGGTACCCTTTAAAGCTTTGATTGATCAAGAATAAACTTTAGATCGTTTTTCATCAAATCCCAACCCTGCTCTCTATCACGAGAATAACATCATTTTCTTCTCAATATATTTCGCAAAAAAACTTTGTTATCATCAGGAGTTTGTCTGATAATTACAGATATAAGCCAAAAAAAAAAATTTTAGACAATGAATATATAAAATAATAACACATACATAACAAAGAAAAGCACATAAATATTGTGTAACCTTTACAATAAGGAATTTTTCGAATGAATAATGTCAAAACAAATAGAACATACAAAGTCCAAGAAAAAAAACTAGAAAACTGTACTTTACTCGTTTGAAGAGTTTTGAAAGGATTGACTAGTTTTTGGGCGTATGCGGTGGGGGGGGGGGGAGGTGTTTAAGGGGGTAGAATTCGTCGGCAAAACGGTCAAATACATGAATTCGTTCAACACTATGATATACTGTTGGTAATACATAAACATGTAATAAATATAGTAGTAAACCCCATATTAGCAAACCTGAACATCTATCTATATATAAATTTGGCTTGTCTGTCTGTTTGTATCCAATAAACGTCAAAACGGCTGAACCGATCGGGCCCAATTTTTTTCGGGACATCACGTGACCACAGGGAAGGTTTATGAATGATAAAAATTTTTAAAAAAATGTGTTTTAAAGATTTTTAATTTAAAAAAAAAAATTTAAATTCTTAAAAATCCGCGATTTATTTTTAAAAATCCGCAAAATTTTTTTCTTCTTTGTTTTAAAATGTAAACAAAAAAGAACATGTTCACAATTTAAATAGAAGATGGGCGCTAAGCGCCTTGAATTTCTATTACCTATATTTATTACGTATAACATTTTCTTTATCCTAATTACGTTCGTTAATTTCTTAGAAATACTATCGGTCCTTATCATTATCATGTACTATGATTTAGTTTAATTACGTTCATTAATTTAACATGTACCACAAAACTCAAAATATAGATTAGTTGGAATAAGAACTCTGCTTGATTACGGTATTAGATTAATAATCTTCGAGAGGGACTTGAGTTGTATCTCGATTGATAGATATAGACTGGATGTAGTATGATTCCCTTACCTTCCTGATCTTCTCTATATACATATATGCTTTCTTATATACATATATATTTTCTTAAATACTTATGTATTTTCTTATATACATATGTATTTTCTTATATACATATATATTTTGAGAGATTCTTTTAATTCCTCTCTATATATTCTATTCTCTATGCGTTCTGTTTATATACTGTCGACAAACACTATATTAAACTTGAAAATCAAAGCTGTCCGACCGTTGTTAGATTAAAAGTTAAAAATGAAATGGATGACAAAAAAGATTTTATGAATGAACAGATGATTAAACATAAATAAATAAATAATTGATATAAAGGATGAGCAAATTAATAAATAATTGATATAAAGGATGATTAAATAAATAAATAATTGATATAAAGAATGATTAAATAAATAAATAATTGATATAAAGGATGATTAAATTAATAAATATTTGATATAAAGGATGATTAAATAAATAAATAATTGATATAAAGAATGATTAAATAAATAAATATTTGATATAAAGGATGATTAAATAAA